TGATTTGAGCTCGCATTTGTCAGAGACGTTGATAGAGACGCGCAAAGAAAATTTCTGTCAAAACAGCAGCACGGTTTTTGAGGCATCTTTTGGCAATGTCACTGGCAAACATGTTTCCTCGAGTTGCTTCAAATGACTTTCATACAGTGCCGCAACGCTGTTGAGAAAATTTGAACGTTCGACCGGAACTGAATAGAAACGAAGTGCCCGGAACATTTTGCAAAAATAAAGTTAAGACGAGAAATGACAGTCGCTCCATGACAGTATAACCAACAATCAATACGAAACTAACGATTTTAAATTGGCTCACCACTTTAGTAGCCTATTGGTCCCAAGCAAACGATTAACGTACCCTATTCTAGTTGAAATTCTATTACTACACTATGTTTGTTTTGATTCGCTATGAAAGTTTGACAGATAACATCAGGGGTGTGTGGATTCATGCAGAACATGCAGGGGTGAGTGAAATAGCTTGGGACTGCAACGATGGGACCGTTGTTCTGGTACTGAGCGAGCCAAAAATAATAATGATTTTCTTCGGGACCCAGTGGTCTTAGAGTTACCTCTATGGTATAACCACAAACGAAGTGACAGACGGAGAGTCTCGAAAACTTTGGTGACGAACCTGCTGTTGCAATTTTTCAGTGTACCACATGGCAACACTACTGCTGGATTTTACTAGCATTTTCACCAAATGTACTACAATGTTTTGATTCTATCCCAAGTAACATTGCAGGTTTTATCACGGTTTTAAAGCATTCTACAAGTCTGAATCATGGTCTACAGAACCCTCATAAAACCGAAATTGTTACTTGGGATCTCTTTCACTCTACTCAAAACTGAAATGCATATAAAAAGACAAAATGGTACACTCTTTGCACACTGTCAAAAATCATTGCACACAAAATCAACTTTGTTCAAATCAAAACAAAAATACTAGTCCATCTAGTGGCTGATGGCACAAGCTTCTAAAAAAAATCTATTACAGTGAACCACATTATTTTAATTGATTTCTTCGCCAGTTAGTCGTCTGTCACTTCGTTTGTGGTATATCTTTTGTCATATTTTACTGATTTGTTTTATTTAGTTTTATGTTAATAAAAATGATTGCGCTGCGGAATTGATTTTCGTCACTAATAAATGTTGTATTTAATTGAATCAACAATTAATAAATAAATAATTTGATATCTGAATTATTTCGTGAAAAAAATTTATTATCATTGAGAACAATAACTTTCTGGTGAATTGAGCGAACAGTAATGTTTATTTACTTTGCTCGTTTGGTTCAGCGTTTGACGGTTCGTTTGGTTCTTTTCGCTGCAATCTATGCATGTCTCTATTCAACGTCTCTGGCATTTTTCTGTGATTGGTAGTTTTATTGCTTTTTTTCCCTTGATTTGTTTTCCGTCGATCTTGTTTTCCGTGCTGAGCACCAATGCTACTGACGCCAGGGAGATAACTCCCACAACTGGACCCTACCTATCGACCCTCATATGTTGATGGGGACCAGAGCTGTTATGCTTCAAAACATTGATTGCATTTTTGTATTTTTCGAGCCTTATTTTCCAACTTCCAAGTGGAATGACAATACCGGTTGAGGGTTACCGCCATACGCATATTTCAATCCGATAGACAGACAGACAGCGCATTTTGTCCGAAGTTATGTTTTACTTACACTCAAAGATAAATTAAATCAAAAAGCTTAAAAAGTATGCAGATTCCCGCTTCACCTTATTGAGTCCGAGCCATGATTACTTCGGCAGTAGTCATGCATGATTAAAATCGAAATAATCTTTCCAGTATTACATTTTATTCTTTTTCAATACTGATATATAGTCAAAAAAGATTAAAATTCAATCAAAAATTATTAAAATAGAATCAAAAATGATTAAAATTTATTCAAAAAAGATAATATACAATGTAATGAATCATGATTAAACTGGGATTAATATCAGATGTTTATTTTTTGGAAAGGATTAATTTTTAATCATTCAATATGATTAAACTGAGTTTAATGTCAAATTGATTAAATTTCAAGCAAAATGGGAATAGTTCAATTTATCAGTGTACATATCGAGAGTAAAATCAATTGGCCTGTGTCGGAGTTTTCGGTTTTCTACTTTACCGTATACGTCCAGACAGGAGAGTTATAACATGTTATAACGGTTGTCAAATAATTGCAACACAGAAACCACCATCAAGATAGCGCTATAACATGTTATAACCATAGAGGTAACTCTAAGACCACTGGGTCCCGAAGAAAATCATTATTATTTTTGGCTCACTCAGTACCAGAACAACGGTCCCAAGCAGTCCCAAGCTATTTCACTCACCCCTGCATGTTCTGCATGAATCCACACACCCCTGATGTTATCTGTCAAACTTTCATAGCGAATCAAAACAAACATAGTGTAGTAATAGAATTTCAACTAGAATAGGGTACGTTAATCGTTTGCTTGGGACCAATAGACTACTAAAGTGGTGAGCCAATTTAAAATCGTTAGTTTCGTATTGATTGTTGCTATTACTTTATAGTACGTTCAGACTACAGAGTTATAACATGTTATAGCGCTATCTTGATGGTGGTTTCGGTGTTGCAATTATTTGACAACCGTTATAACATGTTATAACTCTCCAGTCTGGACAGCGTTTTACGAATGAATTGTCTTGGTAGGAAAATATTTCATTTGTTATACAACCGGTTTAAAGAAGTCAAGCTGTACTTATACCTGTCTTTAAAACTGGTATAATGCTACCTATATTTTCCGTGTAAAAAGCGTACTTTCCACCGCTAGGTGGCTTTCTGAAGTACATCGATTATTTTTCACTTTTTGAAGCAGAGATGAGCTTCCTTTCTTTGATGCTATGATCACAGACAAACAGACATAACACATTGAATATTTCTCACTGTAAAACATCGTCGCAAAAACATTACCGCCATCTGTTGAATACACTGTGGTGGGTAGTACACTGAACAGATGGCGGTAGTGTGTAAACGTCAAACGCAAGGGAATTGACTATGCGCGCCACAGGTGGCGGTACTACCAACTACGATACTTTTAAATTTACCGTTAAATGCTTGTTCGATGAACAACTTGCGAGTGTTATGTCTGTTTGTCTGTGCTATGATAGTGTAAGTCTAGATAGAGCTGGAATTAGGGCCTAACAGCTTTTTTAAACAATGACTTCTATCGATGATTTTTAGAAATTCAAGGCTTGCCCACGCAAACCAACATCATCGGGTAGGGAAAGAGTTCCACTATCCGATGGTTATGTTGGTCTGCGTGGGCGTGCCTTGAGTTCCCAGAAATCATCGATAGAAGTCATTGTTTACAAAAGCTGTTTCGCCCTAATTCCAGCTCTATCTAGAAGTGCGCATAGAAAGTCCGTGTGGAACGCTACCACAACGCATCGCTTGTTGAGCAGAAAAATGTACCACTCTTTGATTCACCGATTTTTTTGCACTTCCCCTTCTTTTCTGTGGTATAATCGAGGGTATAATACTGATGTTTTGGCACAAATTTATAAGTGAAACATATGAATAAAATAAATAAAATAAATAATTTTCACAGCCACAGACAAACAGACATATCGCTTCCATATTTTTTTTATCGAACACGCAATTAGCGGTCAATTTAAATTTTTCTTTTCCACCCGACGGCCCCCCGGATCTCGGACCCAGATCCCAACACCCATAGACCACCCTTAATCTCACCGAAAAATAGCAGGAATTTAGATGTCCTGTCTGCAGATTTCCATTTATTTGCTATACATTTTAAATAGTTTGTTTTATCCCGCATTCAAATGCTAAAATAATTTCAAAATATGTTTATTTTAAACATGAAAATCATGTTTTTTTTCGATCATACATAGTTGTCAAATCAAACAATTTTTAAAATAAACGTAACATTATTTTTGTTTTAAACATTATTATCAATGGCTTCTTGTTCTCATAAATTCGGCATTATTTGGTAGCTGATCTCTGTGCACATATTCGGCCGCACTTCCGTTACCAGGAAATAGTCATTAATTTCCGAGTTAATTTCCATGAATTCTTCATCGTCTACGAACCAATGTGCTGTCCTCCGATGGAACGGGAATCGACTGACTACGCCGCCCCTGTAAACGGAGTCCCAGAGTGATGGTTCCGTGGTCTATTACGCTAGATTTGCCTTGAGCCTGCAATTTGGAGAGATTTGCTGCTGGGGGAACGTCCAGTGGCGTTTCTATCATAAAAAGCCTCGAAATCGATCAGAAAATCTATATAGGCAGAGTATGATGACGGTTTTTTTTTTGCTTTGATGCTTTCCGCTTAACAGTTAATATCATTAATATTTATATTAAAAATTATAATAACTACCCATTTGAGCAATTTTTACACCAAATATTACTTCAGATCAAGTCACTAATAAAAAATAACCATAAACGAACGATAACCCAAATAATAGAACTATTTCATAAATGGTTTGGATGATACCCGGAACACGTTGTTAAGCAAAATAACCATAACAATTTTATTAGGGGTTGTATATACACGGTAACCGCAAAATACCCAATAATGACTACTAAGTAAGCATTTCCGATGGAAACTGGGACTACCCATTAAATGAGTAAAATTTTACCCATTTATGAGTAATTACAACTTCAAAAACAAGTAGTAAGTATTCATTTTTGAGTAGCAAATACTCATAAATAGGTAATATATTTAATCATTGAATGGGTAGTCCCAGTCTCCCTCGAAAATGCTTACTTTGTAGTCATTATTGGGTATTTTGCGATTACCGTGTATAGTCCTCAACCCTCTAAATCTAAATTTAATTTTAATATGATTTAAATGTCCAACTCTACACATTTCTAATGGCCAGTTCGAAATAACACAAACCTTACACGGTCGAGCCCAGAGCCAAATTAAGGAACAAAACGATGTGGTTTTTGACGTTTCTAAGAAGTGTGACAACTCGTACAAGACGAAAACAAACGCGATCGGTACGATTGAGCGCAACTTAGTGCTTACGAATTACAAACAAAAAGTAGTTTTCTTGAAGTGATTCGGCGAACAAAATGGTATGGAAATACTTTATTTTTTGTTCATTTTATAACTTTATTTTCTATTCATTTAGCTGTTCTACTCGTTCTTCAAATCCCTAGTCGGGAAAGATGTAGTGGTTGAGTTAAAAAATGACCTCAGGTAATGTCTGCCATAAAGCTATCTTTTCATTGTAGGTATTATTTAGAACACAGTATTGATTCTAATGTATAACTTTAAGCATTTGTGGAACACTGCATTCCGTCGATCAGTACCTCAACATTAAGCTGACAGATATCAGTGTAACTGATCCCGAAAAATATCCGCATATGCTGTCCGTCAAAAATTGTTTCATTCGAGGATCTGTTGTACGGTACGTTCAACTTCCTGGAGATGAGGTTGATACTCAGCTTTTACAAGATGCAGCTCGCAAGGAAGCGGTTACAAGTGTTAGATAAGCTTAATTTGCCGTAACGTGGGATTATAATTTATCTTTTATGTAATAAAACGTTAATGTGCATGAGTATTTTCTTAAGTTTAGTAAAACCAACATAATGTAGTTAGTTTGAAAGAAATCGATTGGATCACTCTTATTGATGCCACGCTACTTTGTACACTTGACTAATTATGATGCGTGATTTTCGGGGTTGATTGAAATCTCTTGCAAACCTTGTGATTCTGCCTTATACGCACCAAATGGATGTATTTAGATGTGTCGCATGACCATTCTTATGAGAAAGTAGAGTTTGACGATGATAATGGAACTACCACTTACTGTAGCAAGACAACTGTCAGTAGACTGTGAATTAACCTCGCTGTTCGACTTTATCAAGTTTAAAAACCTCTAATTGGACTCAACCTGCCATTGTATGAAGGACCAAAAACGGTTTGAATAAATCTGTGGGCAACATCACGATCAACGATAAATGAGAATCTCCTTCCAACAACAGGATCATATAACCGGTTAAAAAGGCCATCCAACAGGAGGATGCCCCAATGAGTGCGGAGAAGGGCCCACCCTCCTTTCACGAAATTTTAATGGCTTTTCCGCTCTCTCACCTATTTCGCTTCAATCGGGTGCCCTGGTGAACCCTCCCGTACCCAGCATTCAGTGATTCATATAATAATATTATGTTAATTATAAAAAAAATAATAATAAATAGGGGAAATGTCGGTTTCGGCAATACCTTAGCCTATTATCGTCAGGGGGTTAACAAAGCCCTAGAGCACTCAAATTTGGCCACAAGATGCTCTGAAACACAATGTATCCACATGTACGTTGTTTACTCCCTGACGATAATAGGTTAAGGTATTGGCGAAGCCGACTTTTAACCTCTTCTTAGTAAAAAAAAAAAAAAAAAAAAATTAATTATATAAACTTAAAGGCTTGATAACGAAAACCTTGTCCAAATTATAGATTCCATAGATAAGCGGAGGCACAAAAAGTTGTTTTGGCAACCATGAAAAATGAATGATCTTACTGGCTAGAGTCGGTGTATAATGAGTCACGCCAAGAGAAAAACAGTTGAACTCGCAACACGGTTTTCGAAAGACTTCTACAACAACTTCAAATGACTTCTAGCGAGAGAAAAAATATTGCAGCTGTAGTAAATCATTATATCAGTGATTTTGTCAAATTATCTTAACAAAAAATAGTAGAAATTCTCATTACAAATCATTACCGAGCGTATCCCATGACAATTTAACGCTCATTTCTTCGATTATATTTTATATTTTATTGCAATACCTTTCGTGGACCTTTCATAGCATCGTAATGTTTATTGACTTTGCAGACTTTGCACGATAGGTAGCCGGTTTGACAGTTCAATAGGTAGACTTGGCTTCACTCTTGGCGTGACTCATTATACACCGACTCTATTACTGGCATCCGTGAAAAAAGTTCATGCCATCACAGAGCTCTTCGTTGTGCAGTTTTGTTTTGTTTCGTGCGTAAAAGTTCAAAATGAAGTGCAAAGCAAATTTGCAACAATGTATCGATGAATGGTTTGCTTTATCTTTCCTTCTTCCGTTGTCCGCGAAATAAATCGGAATTTATAGTGTGGAAAGCCTTTTGTGCTTATAATATTACAATACTTCTCCCTCAAACAACACCATGATAACGTTTGGCTAAACTAACTGACTGTTCGTTTGGCTACATTATACTTTTCCTCCGCTTATCTGTGGAATCTATAATATCTATAGTCCAAATGTAGTTTTAAAACCGCGCCAATAGGGTTACCTACCTCATTCCCGGCCTATTGAGCACAACCCACACTTAATCTTTCTTATCCCGTAAAAAAATCCAATAAAAATACGAAGATTTTATTAACTGTCAAAACATTGGACATTTTTGTCCATTACCATAAAATCACAACGAAATTCATGGTTCACAACAATAAAAATCATAGTATTTGAGAAATTTATAGTAAAAAAGGGTTGTTAAGCATCTTAACAATAAAAAAATGATTTTTCTCGAACAAATTTGATTTCATCACAGTAACTTTCGTTGTTTGAGCATTGTATCGTTAAAAATCGAAATTAATTTTTTTAGCGACGCCGGTGGTGTAGTGGTAAGCGTGATTACTTCTCAGCCCAGCAGGCCTGGGTTAAATCCCAGTCGGCGCCGCCGAGATGCTCTGAGGCATAACATCTCTGATCACGCCGGGAAGTAAATCCGTTGGTCCCCGGTTCATGAGCTGATGGGTCGATAGATAGGATCCAGGTGTGGGAGCTACCTCTCTCTCGTCGGGTAGCATTGATGCTCAGCATGGAAAACAAGATCGACGGAAAACAAATCAAGGAAAATAAAAAAGGAATTAATTTTTTCTTCCATACAACAATTTAACAAAATTTTTTAATGTATTCGAAATTCAACACTAAAAATCATTGTAATTTCGTTGTTTTATTATAATAATTTTTTTTCGGGATGCCTGTTCTTACTACATATAGAGTTATGGTTATTACATGTTATAGCGCTATCTTCCCTGCGCTTTGGTATAGGGCATCGTTGTGCCAATTTGGTCATGACACATTTCGAGTATGAGAGAGTGATTGCAGTTTGCTCAAAAGTGCCTGAGTAAAATCGAAGACAACAAATCAAGAAGACTGGCAGGTGAGACAGGTACAATCGCGTCATCTGCCGCTCAAAGGTAAATGCTTCGAACGAATTTGATAGCAATGATTACATCCTTAGAAGAAGGGTTTGTGTATTTGCTCATTTTTCTATGCGTTGCTTCCACCTTCACTCAAGCGCAGCGCCATTGTATCTGTCGCTTGGATTCTGGCAAAGTTGCCAGTCTTCTTGATTTGTTGTCTTCGGTAAAATGCAAGAACTTTCTATGATTTCCCGTAGTTATTACAGTGAAGATATACACCCATATTCTCGTTTATATCTGAACGTGTTTGCCATACAGAAACATTTTTATTTGATTTTGTGTGGTAGATGGGTTTCAACGTTAGGATAACGTTGAAAAATTGAGAAATGTATCGCTTCAGTTTGAGAAGCACTTCACTTCGCAACCGACAAACCATTCTGATGGCCCACATTGCCGTGCAGGCACCGTGTGTTGGCAGGGTCCAATATTGGACAGTTTGATGTTTATAAAGTACCATCAGTTAAAACTGTATTTTTGAGCTTTATGTATATACATTCTTAAGGCGAACCAGCCTAAGGCTGAAAGCCTCCTAAATAAAGCTAAATTAATTAATTAATTATACATTCTTAGGTGTTTCTTAGAAGATTATCATGTTGTTGTACGTTGATTCAAAGAGTAAATGGTATTAACATTGAGCTGTCCATAGTTGGGCGTTGTTGAACTTGTGGTACTTGCACAACATTTCATTTGAGTACCAAAGTAACCATAAATCACAAAGTAGATGTGGATTCAGAATGAGACAATGTAACTGAGATATGGTTAGTTGGGTATTTAGATGAAACTATTACTTTGGAGAACTAATCCTGGTTGTATCTCTTTTTCGTTTGCATGTAACACTATTTGATATTACTAATCATATCAAATCTATGATGCACCGAGTGTTCATTCCGGGTGGTGAGCGAACCTAAAGATGAAGAAGCCCCTTCTCGGAACGAGTGTATTGTTAATGATACTTCAAAGTCGGTTTCTGTGATGGTTGGTATCACAATAAAAAGAGGTAAAATAGTTAGTACCATCTTCATCGAAATGTAAGTATTGTTGACAATAATTATAACTAAATGATATGCAAATTTATACGATAGTTACCTGGATCAACGATATTTAAACATACGCATTCAATCTCGACGACATCTAATTGTGCATTTCAACACCTTTGCTTTGCTGGCGTCTGAGTTTTCCGGAAAATCTGTAATCGATATGGTATCACATTAGTTATACGTTTTCATAACTTGAAACAACATGTGGCAAATATTTTGAGGGCTGAAGTTTGCAAATCGTTGTCATTTTCAAATCATTCTTCTGTTTGTGCGGGTTAGTTATAGGTTCAAAATCAAACATTGTGGAATAATCTCTATTTAAAGGATTATTTTCCAAAAAATCACAAAAAAACAGGGAACCTTAAACGTTAGATAAACGATATAAGCTCCGTGGTTGAGTGGCTTTCGTGTTAGTGGCATCATTCATTTAGGTGTATGTACCTGAGCAAAGCATCAAAATGACAGCAATTAGTAATCCAATTTTGATATCAACCTCATACTGACATCATAATTTTGTTTTCATTTTGCTCTTCAAAAATATGTTGTTGCAGTTTTGTTTTCATTGCCTTAGCAGAACATTGAATTGAATACTCGTTTTGGTAGCAACGGGAAAATATACATCAAATGAGTTTTCAGTGATGTGATGCAAGATTTTTGATTGTTCTCAATTTGTATATTTTAACGACCAAAACGACAGCAACCTGAGTTAGCATAATTAGCGACATCACAACATCAAATTTAGTTTTCAATTTGATCTCAGACTTTGCTCGGGTATTGTGTGTGTCATGAAGTGAGATCTCCATTTCCACTTCGGTTGGGAACTATTTCGTTATCAAGAGACTTTCTTATGTGACCTATTGGGCGTTGTCTGTTGTCCTTTGCCTTGTAAGTTATTTGTTCAGTTTGTAAAACTGCATTAAAGCTTTTTAGAGGAGGATCAATTAATGTTGAACCATATGGGCACAACATACAGGAAACAACGCGGTTAAAAATCATAAACCTCATTAACCTACCGCTACGTCAGCTCTAGAAAAGGTTAATGACTGGAACCAAATTATTTCACTAGTTTGAACATCACAGATACATGTTTATGATCTTCAAAATATCTGCTGCATGTAAAAGAAAATCCTCTTAGGATGATTGTGTATTGAAATTTACGAAGCAATTTTCATACCTGGAGAATAGGGTAGATTTGGGTTCAACGGTTGACTAGTAGACCCAAATGATCCATCGACACCCAAGTAGTGGCTGTGATCGCTCACGGGTGACTCAAGTTTGATCGACTTCTCCTCCTTGTCCGAATGACCGAACCAGCCGAAGGCTGAAAGCCTCCTAAATAAAGCTAAATTAATTAATTTATTATACATTCTTAGGTGTTTCTTAGAAGATTATCATGTTGTTGTACGTTGATTCAAAGAGTAAATGGTATTAACATTGAGCTGTCCATAGTTGGGCGTTGTTGAACTTGTGGTACTTGCACAACATTTCATTTGAGTACCAAAGTAACCATAAATCACAAAGTAGATGTGGATTCAGAATGAGACAATGTAACTGAGATATGGTTAGTTGGGTATTTAGATGAAACTATTACTTTGGAGAACTAATCCTGGTTGTATCTCTTTTTCGTTTGCATGTAACACTATTTGATATTACTAATCATATCAAATCTATGATGCACCGAGTGTTCATTCCGGGTGGTGAGCGAACCTAAAGATGAAGAAGCCCCTTCTCGGAACGAGTGTATTGTTAATGATACTTCAAAGTCGGTTTCTGTGATGGTTGGTATCACAATAAAAAGAGGTAAAATAGTTAGTACCATCTTCATCGAAATGTAAGTATTGTTGACAATAATTATAACTAAATGATATGCAAATTTATACGATAGTTACCTGGATCAACGATATTTAAACATACGCATTCAATCTCGACGACATCTAATTGTGCATTTCAACACCTTTGCTTCTCCTTTCTCTTATCCTTCACCTATGCATGCACCTACGCTTCTATGTTAAGGATCAACTTAACCCTCATTTAGTATTCGGCTGATTTCAATCGACTCGCATAAGTCATTATCTATAAGAGCCATCTCATCTTTATCTATTTGATTGCTGCATGAAAGGTGTATAATTGGTCATCAACATTACACTGGCGACCAGGCTCAATACCCCTCCAGCATGGCACAATAACAATAACAATAACAATATATAAATAATCCGGTTAATATTAGAAAGGAGCATGTTGAAACAAACCACTAAAAACCTGTATAGTAGCATGGTGGAGTCGTAATTTGAGACAAGCAGCGACTCGGACTGGGAGAGTGGTTCAGAAGACCTAGTTCCATCAGACTTCCTCGGATTTAGTGATGAGGACCCCATCATGAGAGGAACCGATTCTGATGACGAGGTCGGTCCGAGGCAACGACAATGACAACCCACAAAGCATCCCCAGTCAACAGACGATTCAGCAATAACAACCCATAAAGCATCCCCAGTCAACCGATGATGATTCTGGAACACAAGTAAGCCCAGAATTCATAGGTAAGTTCACACAATCATTATACTAACATGCTTTCCCAATAGGTTCCTACTCAAATGTGTTAGCAGTGCCTATTCGACCACCATTGGTTATCTCTTGAGTAGGCCTTGACAAATTAGCACCAAAAGGGCTGCAACCTGTAGTCTACCAAAAAAAAATGTTATAGCGCTATCTTGATGGTGGTTTCTGTGTTGAAATTATTTGACAACCGTTACAACATGTTATAACCAACAATCAATACGAAACTAACGATTTTAAATTGACTCACTACTTGACTAGCCTATTGGTTCCAAGCAAATCGACTAACGTACTCCATTATAGTATAAATTCCAGTACTACACTATGTTTGTTTTGATTCGCTATGAAAGTTTGACAGATAAAATGAGGGGTTAGTGGATTTTTCTATGTTTCGAGGGGTGAATCGATTAGCTTGGGACCGAAGATAGTACCAGAACTGAGCCAAAAAGTTGAGCTCATTTCTTCGGGACCTTCTGGTCTTATTTGCCTCTATGTTATAACTGCTCAGTCTGGCCAGCGCTTTAATCTAGCGTAGTTTAGCACCAAACGGAATGTTATTATTACAGATGCCTTCCACATTTATTGACCTTTCCATATGTACCGTTAGTTCTGATAAGGGGTCGAAAAATATTCGTTTATTGTTGGCCTACGGGTTTTCTTGGGCCTATTAGCCACTGAAACGTCATTGGGATTCTCTTTGGCCTATCGAACGGATAGAAAAGTGAATTCGCGTGCGCCTTTTGTATACTTTTGTTGCGCCTTTTGTTTGTGAGATCTTATTTTGCGTTTTTCAAAACTTCGTCTGGCAGCTATTGAATTGGGTTCTTTAAGAGTATTGAGGTAAATGCGTATTCGTAATCTGCATTAAAAATGCATCCAACCTCCAAAATTTCATCAATATTGGTACACTGGATCTAATTGAAATAAGTTCAATTACTTTAGCAAACATCACCATCTTAGCTCCCCTCGGTGGGTCTTTGTATGGGAGCGAGCAATATACCACAGACAAACAGACGTAACTCTTTGAAAAACTTGTTCTTGAAAATATAGTATCTCAAAACATATAACCTCAGTAACGACATCTCTCTGGCTTCTCGCGGAAAACAAGCTTGCTCGCTAACTCGTAAACAATATTGCATAAAAGTTCTATCGAATGTATGGAAACGTCAAAGTGATCCGATGCCAGCGCTGCGGCGAGTAGTTCGCGGAACTGATAATATTCAAATCAACCGTTAAATGCATGAACGAAGACACACAATGAAGAGTTACGTCTGTTTGTCTGTGAATATACGCTATTTCAAAACTACCCACATTTGGGTAGAATCCACCCAGATCGGTCAAAACTGAACCTACCCAAAAATGGGTAAACTATGTTGGAAGTGACAAGTTGACACATGAACAAAGTCGATCGGATTCATGTCGATGTTGTCCATTTGTCAACTTGTCATTCATAACATAGTTTACCCATTTTTGGGTAGGTTCAGTTTTCACCGATCTGGGTGAATTCTACCCAAATTTGAGAAGTTTCAAAATAGCGTGTATCCAGTTAATTTTTCGGCCGGCGCCGGTGGTATAGTGATAAGCGTGACTGCTTTCTCACCCCAATGGGTCTGGGTTCAATGCCAGCCGAGGTCGGTGGGATTTTTCTGAGGCTTAAAAATCTCTCACGTTTTCCTTCGGAAGGGAGGTAAACCCGTTGGTCCTGGCCCATGTGTGTTGAATGAGTGCGATATCCTACGCAGGTGTGGAAGCTGCCTTACTGCACATTCGATTGCCGTCAATGGATGGCAATCGATATCCGTCGGTGATTGGCACTAGATTGCAGAACAGAGACCGACGTTAAATAAAGGAAAGAAGAAGTTAATTTTTCCTTTGGGGTGCGGAGCGCCCCCCTCACCACGACCAGGCTACGCCACTGGTTGATAGTTATTCCTGTTTGTTTGTTTTCATGCGGTGAACGAATGTAAAATCTTTATTTGATTCAACCTTTAGCATATAATATGATCGATGTAGAAGATATCAAAGGATTTGATGGCATGGACAATGTTCATTGCAGTAATGCGCTTGGCGTTCATTTCAAATGATTTTATTTTGTCTAAAATTTTACATTGCTTGTAAGGGGTTGATTCTATGTTTGTTTACTCACTATATCAAATGACTCGTTTCCTGTTTTCTGCAGCTTAAAATATCCTTTAAGTAACAATCGATTCTCAATGTATAGTTAATAATCATAAATAATTCGCGCAAATTTGTTTACAATAAATTAAATTACTCATTACAAAGATCATTCCAATTATTTACAAAAACGTCATACGCAATCTATAAATTCTGTTTCCCAATCTAACTGAATAGTTTTTGTTGTTTGGTAGACAACTTAATCGCAGGTTTTCATACCATTTTAAACAATTATAATACAAAGATTCAAGTACAGCAATATTAATTTTCAACTGTTATTGACTAGCATTTTATTCACGTTAAAATTATGATAGCGATAAATTTCAGTTACAACATAATTCCACAAACTAATGTTGATGGGCGAAAATTTATTCACACGGTCCTCCCCTCCTTCTCTTTTTAATGGGACTCTTGGATTGCATCACCTCTCCATCCATTGCATCATTGCTCGATGGCTGTAGCGTTGAAATATGAATTTTGCATTAGATATAGCTTATCTATATGGGTGATGCTGGTTCCAGGAATTAAACTGTTGATATTGTTATTGTTGTGATTGACTAAGCTGGCACTGGTGTTGTTGTTGTTGTTGTTGTTATTATTGTTCGCGCTGTTGTTACTATTGCTGCTACTGTTTAGACTCGTCTGAAGGTCCAGATTTTGCAGCGACATGGTGTCTGACGTGGCCTCGTCCAGGTTATCGAAACTTTCATCTAGCGAAATGTCGCTGCTACACATGCTGGCGTCTGAGTTTTCCGGAAAATCTGTAATCGATATGGTATCACATTAGTTATACGTTTTCATAACTTGAAACAACATGTGGCAAATATTTTGAGGGCTGAAGTTTGCAAATCGTTGTCATTTTCAAATCATTCTTCTGTTTGTGCGGGTTAGTTATAGGTTCAAAATCAAACATTGTGGAATAATCTCTATTTAAAGGATTATTTTCCAAAAAATCACAAAAAAACAGGGAGCCTAAAGCGTTAGATTAACGATATAAGCTCCGTGGTTGAGTGGCTTTCGTGTAAGTGGCATCATTCATTTAGGTGTATGTACCTGAGCAAAGCATCGAAATGACAGCAAATAGTAATCCAATTTTGATATCAATCTCATACTGAAATCATAATTTTGTTTTCATTTAGCTGAAGATTAGCTCTTCAAAAATATGTTGTTGCAGTTTTCTTTTCATTGCCTTAGCAGAACATCAAATTGAATACTCATTTTGGTATCAACGGGAAAAATATATATTTATTTGGTATCAAAACTGATAGCAGAATTTGTTTTTTAAGTGATGTGATGCAAGATTCTTTTTTTTTCTCAATTTGGATATTTTAACGACCAAAACGACAGCAACCTGAGTTAGCATAATTAGCGACATCAAAACATCAAATTTAGTTTTCAATTTGATCTCAGATTTTGCTCGGGTATTGTGTGTGTCATGAAGTGAGATCTCCATTTCCACTTCGGTTGTGAACTATTTCGTTATCAAGAGATTTTCTTATGCGACCTATTGGGCGTTGTCTGTTGTCCTTTGCCTTGTGAGTTATTTGTTCAGTTTGTGAAACTGCATCAAATCTTTTTAGAGGAGGATCAATTAATGTTGAACCATATGGCCACAACATACAGGAAACAACGCCTTTAAAAATCATAAACCTCATTAACCTACCGCTACGTCAGCTCTAGAAAAGGTTAATGACTGGAACCAAATTATTTCACTAGTTTGAACATCACAGATACATGTTTATGATCTTCAAAATATCTGCTGCATGTAAAAGAAAATCCTCTTAGGATGATTGTGTATTGAAATGTACGAAGCAATTTTCATACCTGGAGAATAGGGTAGATTTGGGTTCAACGGTTGACTAGTAGACCCAAATGATCCATCGACACCCAAGTAGTGGCTGTGATCGCTCACGGGTGACTCAAGTTTGATCGACTTCTCCTCCTTGTCCGAATGACTCTTGTCTCCGTCGCTGTTATTGCTTTGTCCTGCTTTGCTTTTCCGGGAAATCTTTTTCATTTTGGCACGTTGATTTTGGAACCACACTTGGACTACCCGCACCGAGAGGCCAGTATCCTTGGCCAGTGCTTCCCGTACCTTTCGACACGGTTTGGGGGATACGTCGAATGATGCTTTGAACTGGCGTCGTTGAACCGAGGTTAAAATAGTCCTCGGTCGTTTAGGCCCACGACGGCCATCTCGTGATCGCAGACCATCTTCCAGCAGGTAATCGTCCTCACCGTACAATGTATGCTGACTGTGTTGTGGGTGCAGGGGGTGTAAGGTGTTGTACATATCTTTCTCTAGGTCGTGCTGACAAATGAGTTTACCGGCTCGCAGAGAGAATGGTTCACCCTTTTGCAGTGGTCTGTTGCAGGTATAGCATAGAAAGCAGTTTAGGTGGTATACTAGATTTTTCGCTCGCATAACCATTTCGTTGGGTGTGATTCGCTCACCACAGCCGTAACAATCGCGTGACACATTCTGCTGTTGTTGTTGTTGCTGCAGTGGCGAAAGGCCGTAAATTCTGAAATGAACCGGAATGGGAATATCATTGTTAGATTTCACGCTAGTAAAACTAGTTTTCTATTTGAAACCGCAGTGACTATATGTGTATCGCGGCAAAGATCTTTTGATGTTGTGACAAAGAAGGTTGCAAACTTGAACTTGATTTTGTTCTAATATGATAACGATACTGGGATTCTTGTTCATCATGTTCTAGTATAGCAATGGACGAGGCTGCCAGTGCTGATTCTTCATCATGATTGAAAGTGAGCCTGAAGATAGGTGACTCAGATTTGTCCTTCTTTTGTGTAGTTTTGCCCTTTCCTGTTCATGGTGTATCTCTGGGCTTAGATGATCTTAAATTGCTATCATTACCATACACCAGTCTCACATTTTCAAATGCTTTTGTTCAGATTTGTATTGTAAATGCAATGCAGTCGCTCATTATCACATAATTAACATTTTTCAATATTCCTCGTCTCGTCTACAATATATGCAATCGATCAATCGTAATAACCGCTTTCAAATATTTATGGGCCCCTTAGCTCAGTCGGTGAAGGTTGTAACTGGCATGCTGGTCATGCTGGCAGGCTAAGTTCATTCCCGATTTACGAATTTTTCGGGTTATTTAGTAGGTATCATTTGTGCTTGTCAAACAATATACGAATGTAAAAATGATGCAGCTCTTATTATTTACTAACTATGAGCTGAGAGCAGACGCAAAGTCCCAGTTGGCACGTTATCCTCAAAAAGAAGAAGAAGACACATTCAAACATACTGTAAGTGTCCAATTTTGGCAACAAACTTCTGAAACCTTGAAAACCACAGAACTAAAAGATATTCGTGGGAGCTCCACAACCCTCCTTGTGGTAGAAATTTCTCAGTATCAAAATAATTCTTGACCGGAACTTGGTGGGGAGCACACCCGGAAGATCTGATCAGGTTGTACCGAACAACCATCCTTTCGGTTTTAGAGTACTGCAGCTTTTGCTTCCAATCCGCAGCAAAAACACACATTCTTAAGCTGCAACGGATTCAATACCGTTGCCTTCGTATTGCGCTAGGCTGTATGCACTCGACTCATACGATGAGCCTCGAAGTACTCGCGGGTGTTCTCCCGCTGACAGATCGTTTCGCTGAGCTGTCTTTCCTATTTCTCATCCGTTGTGAAGTAATGAATCCTTTGGTAATAGAACACTTTGAGAAGCTGCTCGATCGAAATCCTCAAGCAAGATTCATGAGTTTGTACTATGAGTACATGACGCTGGAGGTTGGTCCTTCTTCATTAGTCTCCAATCGTGATTGCTTTCAAGCCTTCTATAGTTCCTCTGTAAAATTTGATCTAACCATGATGCAAGAAATCTATGGAATACCAGATCACCATCGGTCGATGGTTGTTCCCTCAATTTTTGCAATCAAGTACCACCATGTAAGTAACGATAAAAGATTTTTCACAGATGGGTCAATCATAAATGCTTCCACTGGATTTGGTGTATTTAATCAATTTCATAGCGCCTCCTATAAACTGCAGAAGCCATGCTCCGTATACGTTGCGGAACTCGCAGTTATATTTTACGCAGTAGAGCGAATTGCCTCACTACCTTCTGACCATTATTTCATTTTTACGGATAGTCTTAGCTCATTGGAGGCTATTCGTTCATGAAGGCCAATGAAGAACTCCTCTTATTTCCTGCCTGAAATACGATCTAAACTAAGTGCTTTATCTAACTGCTCCTATACTATCACCTTCGGTCACCTTGGGTCCCATCTCATTGCTCAATTCCGGGTAATGAGAAAGCGGACTCGTTGGCTAAGATGGGCGCTATGGGAGGCGATATTTTTGAGCGACAAATCGCCTTCAACGAAATTTTTCTCCATTGCTCGTCAGCAGTGTTGGAAAAGTTCGCGATATTTCAAGAAGTTCACCAAGGGAAAAGTTCACGAGTCATAGTGAGTTTTCGCAAACTTTTTCATCACTGCTCGTCAGCAAGTCCTTATCAGTTGGCAACAAAAATGGAATGATGGTGAATTGGGAAGATGGTTACATTCTATTCTGCCGAACAAACCATGGTTCAAAGGGTTGGACATGAGCCGTGACTTTATACGCGTTATATCAAGGCTTATGTCCAATCACTGCTCGTTAGAATCGCACTTCTATCGAATTGGGCTCTCAGGCAGCAATTTATGTGCGTGTGGCAGTGGTTATCACGATATCGAGCATGTTGTTTGGTCATGTACCTTACACCGTGTTGCCAGATCTGAGTTATCCACATGCCTCAGGGCCCGAGGAAAACAACCCGCGATACCCGTTAGAGATGTCTTGGCGAGCCGAGATCTCGACTATTTGAATTTAATTTATGTGTTTTTAAAACGGATAGATCTGAGGATTTAGTAGTGTCATCTTGTGTTCTCCCAAGTTGTTAGCTGCCCATCGGTGTACCCTCATGTTTGTCTTTTCATCAGAGTGTCGCTTAGTTCGAGATCAAGAGCACATTGCTCTCCAAACCTTGTGTTCACAATCCCTGCCCTGCCATCCATTTGTTACAATTTGTTACCCGTAACCTCGAGATAGCCGCGAGTAATCAGCCCCCACTTTACTAACGCTAGTTTTAAGTAGTTTTGTAATCTAATCAATGAATATCGGCTCCGCAAAGCTACAACAAATGAGCCTGGAAAAATAAACGCATTACACGCAGAGAAAATTGACCTTATTGAACAAAAAAAAAATATTATTGAAATATTTTGCAATGTCAAATAGAACTTTTTTTGAATTCAATATTTATATTTTGTAGCTTCAAAAATGTTTTTTGTTGTTTTCATTGCAAATTCTGAATACAAATATAATGTAGATTCAATAAAATATATTTTTGACTACAAATATTATTTTAACTACTTTTCAAAAATATATTGTAAATTTAAAAGCAACACTTTTCCAAAACATACAAAAGCTCATTTTGTCAATGTATGTGTGTGTTTTCAATGCTTGCGCATGCTCGGCTTCCCAGTCTCGTCGGAAGAAGTTCTTTTTGTACTATTAAATTGCAAACCGTTAATGAGAGGTCATAATTCCGGTATTTTTTGTATAATTGATAAACCTATTGAATCACTATTTGTACCGTTTGTTAATAAATAGAAAATGAAACCAAAACAATTTTTAAATTTTTATAAAATTATTTCTCGAATAGAAAAACTGCTAAAATTAAAAATTAAAATATTTATGCAAAACCAGTTTTTTTTTAATTATTAAAAACAAATTGTTATCATTCGTAGCAATTTTTTTAAAATCAAAAAAAGTTATTGTTGGTAGCAACTTAATTTTTTTTTTGATCAAAAAAAGATTTTGTCTGTTTGAAAATAAATATTGTAAATTCAACAAAATATATTTTTAATTGCGTTTCTGCAAGATTTTGAAAACAACAATATTTTATGTCCGTACAATAAAGATTTATTGTTGAATTCAATAAAAAAAGTTATTAGCCGGGGAATGATAATTTTTGTTGTTGTTTTCAATACATAATATCATTGAAATTAAAAAACTTTTTTGTGCGTGTATATATATATATACATAAAAAACTCTCTGCTTTCCTGATTGTAAAACGAGTAAAATTTTGTCGATGAACCTTGACACATTTTAGAACCCGATTAAGATTCTTCTCTGAAAATTTCAAGTCATTTGGTATCGTAGTTAAAGCTGTTTATGTGTGTGGCATTAATTTCGTGTTCACCCTTTATTCTAACTATGTCCACGCTTTCTGGAATTCCGATCTATGTTTCAAAATGAGCAAAAGCTACCTAACCGAACAATAGATCACGCGCAATCGATGTTATTCTGCTACACAGTTCGAAAAAGTAGTGTAAATTTCTGCACATAAATGGAGCGTCGCATATCATATAAGTTTACAAGTTCTAAGACATTTCATGCAATGTAGCAAATATTGTATACAAAAGCCCATTGTTGAAAACAACATTGTTTACAAGCTGCTCGGATTCGTGAAATGAAATACAAGTTTACGTGAATGAATGTTTCCATCACTATTAAAATTCAGATTTTTTTTTTTTTTTTTTTTTTCCTTTATTAACGAGACTTTCAGCCTTAGGCTGGTTCATCTCTAAACCTCCAGAGGGGAGGCTCTCAAAAAAGGTAGGGATAGATGTTCCAGATGGGAACTCCTGAAATCATATTTTTACAGAGTATTTTTAAACAGAGTTTTTTGTTTTGTTCCTGTCTCGTTTCAGTTAAGGGGTTTCTGATTCCGGTTGGTCCGTTTACGTTGCGTTAGGTCTGGTGTATAAAGGGTTTGTGTTCGTTCGGGTCGTGGTGATATTTTCGTTCAAATTCAGAATTTTTATCTGTGTAGGTAGCGAACGGAAATCAAGAATATGCACGTTTCCATCAAATCGTTTTGGTGTTTTCGGAGCACTTATTGCTTGCATCGTAAGAAACAAGTGCATCGAAGACACCAATAAGATTAGACGGAAAATTGCGCTTGTATCACCCGTTTTAATGAGTGAAAACGCGCTCACTTGTCCAGTTTGGTGTGAAATCGTCATTAAATTCATAAGAATGTTTTCATCTAGAACCAATTCAGTAAATCTAGGCGGACTCTTACATTATTTTCATTTTGCAGCGTTTGGTGGGGCAATGGGAGCGCAAGTCAATCCAAAGCCGAGGATAAAGGAAGGGTAATGGCTGAATAGTCTATGCGGACCACTTGAACGCCATGGGAAAGGAAAGGGATTGAAGAGGTCGGTTATTGGGGGGTTTTGAGGAAATGACACATAGTACTAGATTTGTGTTGCAAAATGTAAAGAAACCGAAAATCCATCTCCCACTGATTCATCCTTTCACATATATACCAAATTGATATTTTAAAGCAACCGTCAAAATAAACAGACAATATATGAAAAGGCTAGTTGCCTCCCTAAGCGGTCCCCCCCCCATCCTAACTCTTTTGTTAATCTACTTAATGTTATTAGGCTGTCTAAATTTTCTTATTTAAGCTCGTTTGATGATTATGATATCTCATTAGTCTAATTTAATAAATAATCTCTAATTCACCTAATGAATCATAACTCATGCTTTATTAAGTTCCTAAACTGCTATGTAATTTAAAATTTAACGTGTTTCAAGTAATTTTGACTTTGATCTATATTTATTATATCTTTTGATCGACCCAGGTGACACCTTCAAGTGACTAAAATGCTTCACTTTGAAATTAGTTTCCTAACTGATTTTTAAATTATATATGGTATGTGCTCCAACTACACTCACACGTTTCCACTATGTCGTCCCACAAAATTACGTATGGATATGTCACAATAGAAGCACGCCACAGTGGAAATCCCGAGCCATAGTTCAAACACTTATCCCAAACCAAAATGAAGCATATATAAGATTAGTTACAATACCATGGTGGTGTTTAATATTGTTCCCTGAGTAATTCTTCAATGAAACAACAATGAAAACTTGTCACGCAAATAGAAGGAACACCGTTGGGCACTTTCTGAAATATTTCAATAGACCTTTTTGACGTTTAATCATCTTTCTCTATCTAGCACACATGGATGAATGGATGGTTTGTTTTCCCACTAACCTGTTTCCCTCTTGCTCGCACTCCTTCAATTTAAATGCTGCATTAGTGTGCGCCGATTAAACGTCAAAAAGGTCTGTAGTATTATTCCCTTGCCAACCCAAATAAATTTATCTGCGTAAAAATAAATAAAATAAGAGTGATTTGGGGCAAAACCCGCCAGTATCGCATCCAACGTCAGTGCCTATACGTAAGCGTACTACAACGCGGTTTTCAAATAAAGGAGTAACAAGTGTGATACTATCACTTCAGGCTAGAACTTTGGTTCTCTTATGCAATGGTTCATCAGAGAGGGGTAGCTCAGTAATCATCATCGCATGCTCATGACGCTATTCTGTCACGGCATGAGCCAACGGTGCCGGACCTAAACCAACCGTCTCCAACGCTCCACTATGAAGCATAAGATTAGGCCCACCCACCAACGTCCAGGTTAAAAACTAGCCAAGGGGAGGGGAATCTAGGTGGATTCCTACATTATGAATCCAAATTGCACCACCTTTGCATTCACTGGTTTCAGAAATGGCACAAAACGGCCAGGAACTCGTCCAACAAAATGTTTACATTCTGCACAAGTCGGACGATCCCCAAATCATCCCCGAATAACCACCAACAAGCTGATATGAATCACCATCATTCCACGCATATCTAGCATCCATAAGCCAATTGTAGCTGCACAATAATTAGATATGATTTACTTATTTTTCCATATCATTTACTCCGACCAGTCAAAAGCCAAGCTCAAACACTGCATCCACGCAATATACATGCATAGAAAAAATCTCAATTAATGCTTCAAAGAACAATAAGATCGTGTAAGAGTGTCACAACTAGTAAGAAGAACAGCTATGCTGGTATATCTGTTATTTTCATGATTTTCTAAAATTCAATTAAACCGCATTTTTATGTTTGCCCACATCACCGTTTGGGGTCAGCAAAATGCTATGCCATGGTGGACATTATCGAGTGGCATAAAATTGTGGTAAAAGCGAATGTATCGACTAGCTCTTAGCGCCACCATTAAAGTAACGAGCGTCAGATTTAATAAAAATTGTTTTATGAGCTCGTTCCGAAGGCGTGGTATAATGCGGCAGCAGTGAAGCTGTGACCGAAAAGGGAAGACATAGAAAACCATTACCCATTCGCGCAACCACCATTCAAGATTATGGGTGTTTATATTTCCCTTTTTTTTTGTTGGTAAGTTTTACTCTGTCGGTTTTTTGCTTCCACAATGGTGATGAGAGAGGGAATAATGGAGGATGGCGGCGTGATGTGGTTTTCTCTTCCGTAGTTGCTTGGGATGGTCGTTTTATGGCAATAGTGATGTATCTCGATGATAATGATAATCCATGGGGCAAAAGTTTTTGTCGGATCTTTTCTGCACAAGAAGTTTCCTTGTGGTACAAAGAAAGTTGACGTAGAGATTTAAGAAAATTGGCTTATGTAAGAAAAGTTACCCACGTAGTCGTGTAGCATGAGAATCATGATTCAATTTGGATGGAAGAAACTACGGCATACCGTTTTGTTCGGACTGAACGTTTATTCTATTAAACGTTATTATGCTTACCGGTAGTAATCATCTTTGCAGTAGACTTTGGTGTTTTTCGTATAGCAGGACTGGTTGAGCTGGATGTGGCAGATGCAACAGAGAAGACACTGTTCGTGCCAGTACTGATCCGGGGAAAGTTTCATAAAATATCTGTCTTTGATTTTCTGGCCGCATCCTTCACAGATTTCCTGCGTCTTTTCACTTTTGATCGTCCCAACGATGTCTGTAATGTGAAGTGATGAGAAAAGTATGAATAATTACAAAGATACAATGCTAAGGATGACTTTTTTTCTGAAAATTACAAGTATGCAGATTTCAATTGAGTAAGTCATAAAAAAAATCATGAAAGCGTGAGATAGTGATAATGACGCATTCCACATAGGAATAAATTGGAAATCGCTTATCACCCACCCTTCATAGGCGGGAAATGTTGAACCACGTATCGTCCATAGTGAAACACGATGAGGCACCTGTTAAACCTCTAGTGAAATACCCAATACAAATGTATGTACCCAAGGAGAAGTGACACATGGAGGGCTGGTGGTAGGAGGATGTATTCCGTGCCGATCGCAAGGGCCACAAAGTTTTCATGCACCCATAAACAAACAAACTGATACCTAAACGTAAACACAATGTTTAGCTTTGGGCGGATAAATTGAATATGTTTATTTGAGTTTGTCTTCGTTTGGAAATAAACAGCTATCGGCTTGGATAGTTGATATTGGTTGGGATGCAACAACATATTGAAGCGAATAAAAAACTGTTTTCAAAAGCACCGGTTGGTTTGCTGTTTATTTGACTGTAAACTCAGTTAAGTTTTCTCAGAGCTAAGTTGCAAATACTCATTTCGCATAAGCACGTATTGTTTTAAATAATTACCAAATGTTAATTGCCGTCATTTTCAGGGTTGTTACGAGAAATTTGAAATAAAATCAGCCCAAAATCCACTTCAACTTTGATTGAAAGGTATAAAGTAAATTTAATAATTAGGAATTTTCAACGAAATTTTTTGAAAGTTTTGAAAACTTTCATCTTGAATTTTACAGAACTTTCTGAACTTTCACAAAGCGTCCTAACATTTAAAAAGATTCTCTAGATTATTATGAGGTTTCATGAACTTCTATTATGTTTTCTAATATTTGTTGAGGTTCCTTGAGTTTTGTTTTGGCTCTCTAAACATATTGAAAGTAGGGGAATAAATATACGTATTCTCGTGAATCCAAGCAGCATCCGCACTTCTATTAGTAATTTCTCAGCATCTCGCACACATATTACGTGTTTGTTTGTTTACATTTACCTTCTGCATGATATTCTATCCATTCCAATCGACAGAATTGTCCAAAACGAGTTCAAAACGTTTTTACAACGCTCCAAACTTCTCAGGTGATCGCGACTATTGCCAGCAGTCTCTTTTTCTTCGGCAACCTTTTCAATTGAGCTACGTGTTAACCTGTAAGGGGCCTGGGGCCTCCCTTAGTTCAGTCAATATAGGCGCAGCTACAAAGCAAGACCATGCTCTAGGTGGCTGGGTTCAATTCCCGTTCCGGTCTAGGATTTTTTCGGGTTGGAAAATTTCTCGACTTCCCTGGGCAAGTATGATTGGACTTGCCACACAACTATACCAATGCAAAAATGGTACAGGCATCGGAAGCGCTCAATTAATAACTGTGGAAGTGCATCTAGAACACTAAGTTGAGAGCACGCAATAAGCTAATATGCGATATGCAATAAGCTTGAAATGCGAAGAAGAAGAAGAAGACGTGTTAACCAGCTGTTATATTATCGGCAACAACGGCGCCGGTGGTGTAGTGGTAAGCGTGATTACCTCTCACCCCAGCAGGCCTGGGTTCAATACCAGTCGGCGCCGCCGGGATGTTCTGAGGCATAACATCTCTGATCACGCCTTCCTTCGGATGGAAGGTAAAGCCGTTGGTCCCCGGTTCATGAGTTGATGGGTCGATAGGTAGGGTCCAGGTGTGGGAGCTGCCTTCCTGGCACGTCGGTAGCATTGGTGCTCAGCACGGAAAACAAGATCGACGGAAAAAACAAACCAAGGGAAAAAAAAAATATCGGCAACTCGAAATCAGCCTATTTTATGGTGCGTATGTTACACGGCGAATAAGAACGACCCAAATTTGAGTTTAGTTTAGAGACTTTCGGAGGTTCTTAAACTGTTCTGAAGTTCTCTAAAATCTGTCAGATTACCCTAAATCTCACTACACTGAAAATATTTTTTCCATTAATCCTCTCACGCTAGTTTCGTAGAAAGGGTGTTCGTACATAAAACTATTTTGTTGTTGATCATACGAAACATTTGTATTGCATGTCATCGGACAAAATGTTAACTTTACGGTTAATTAGTAAAATACACGAACTTACTTTCTTAAAATCTGCTTTCATATGTGATACGAAAGTCATTCGTGTATAATACCTATTACACGCACTTTATTCGTATACGTTACGAAACCCTTTGTTCATACAAAGATCCAATCCAATGTAAAATCTGCTTTCGTATGTGATGCGAAATGCGTTACGCAATCCCTTGTTCATACAAAGATCTAATCGCATTCAGTTCATTGCTATCTTCGCGATGCGGACCCAAAGGCTGCTATGCAAAGTGGGTTGTCTGTGTAAGTAATAAGGCTAGGACAAGGTCGAACCCGAAGCGCTGAGTAAGTAGCTAGTTACAGGGTTTTTTCTCATGATTTTCAGCATTGATAACTCCTCCAATGGATCCGGATGTTTTTTGAGTCCGTATTATTTTTGGGGTTATTTCGATGCCGTTAGTTCGCTCAAAAGGATTGCATAGTCAGCATTCTACCTAACGAAGCTCAAGCATCTAGGAATCCAAACAAAGGAATACGGCCAAAAAAATAAAAATCAGGATTTCTTACTGTATTTTGCATATTACATCCATTGGGGGAAGTGATCCAAATATATCTAAACCCGGCTATCTTCCAGTTCCGCTGATACAATAAATTAGTATAAATATAAATATAGCTAAAACAACTTCGGAAGGTTGGGTAAATTAACTCCAATGAGATCATCAAAAAATTATTAAATTCGACAGTGAGCATTCATAAGGGCCTAACTTCAATTAACGATTGTCTTCGTCGATTTTCTCTTTTGTTAATAACTCGCTTGGATTAACATTTCACGACCATGTTAAGACATTCCCAGCTATTTTCAGCACACAGATCTATGAAAAAAGATATTATCTAACTTCTAATACAACACACTTTATTATAAACTCTTCTGTAATTCACCCAAACATCTTTCCGGTCTTTCCAGAGATTTTCTAAACTGCAATTAAGTTCCTTGTGCTTCTCAAAATTTTACAGACTTTCTCTGAAGGCCATAGCCCTTCATTGAAATTAGGGAAGTTGATCAAACGTCTGCAAGACTTACCTGAAGTACATCAAACTTCTATGCAGCTCTTTGAACTTGTCCGAAGTTCGCTGATATTCTCAGATAAATTCTAAGATAATCAAAGAGATAAAAAAAACGAAGGAGCTGCAAAGCATGAAGAACTCCTGAGAGCTTTGGCGAATTACATATAGGTTCAGTGAATTCCAAGATCTTAAAAGTGAATAATAGGCGATCTGCCAATTTCAGAGCTGTTTAGAATACTCCAGAGGGGTTTAGATACGTTCTGGAACTCCATAAATGTTCTAGGAACTTTAGAGACCTTCAGAAAATTCCTTCAAACACTGCGACATTATAAAACCAGAGCATGCTTTCAATGATTCCTTTAAAAAATCTTCAATTGACCTCAAGAAGTCAAAGTTCATGATCTTCCATTTAAAAATTACAACGAACACTAAGTGGCTATTTTTCACACAGATGGCGCTACCAATGGAAGTGAATAATAAAAATCCTAATGTAGAAAATTGGAAAGGTTAAAATTATGCGCTTTTGATGTATATTCAGGGTAAAGCTTCAGGCAAAGTACATTTTTATCCGCTTTAAAAATCAAGTCCGCAAATTATTACCCTAAAAAAAAAAAATCAAATTTGTAATTTCTCTCTCACGAGCTCAATTTCTCAAGGTACCATGTTTTTCGATGACACTGGATTTTTGATTTCCCTCTCACAGACTACAAAATAGAGTACCTGACACTGTAAAACATGTCTGGAACCTCTATATTTAGATTAGTCCCTCCTTTTTTACATACTCTGCACCAAATATAGTCATGAAGTCTGTAGACATTATCAAATGTCAGATCAAATCAATAACCAATAGCTGTCAATAATGTAATACAGTGCTTTCCAGATTTTGTCAGCCTGCAGATTTCACTAAACTACTCTATGAATAATTGTTATTCTTACACTTCGCTGTAATGTGAATATTAGGAGAAGCGGGAGTAAAATGTGCATACGGGGTAAAATTAACAATTAACGATTAATTTTCATTCAAATATCAATCAATTCAATGCACAGGTCTTTCATTCAATGTACCTTTTAAATTTTAATTAATTTACATTAATATAATATACTCCTACTAGTAATTGTTAGTTTTGAAATGCTGTTTGCTGGAAAAATCATTTTTACCACGGAAAACCTGTTTTTTTTTTTGCAATTGCAATAAAAACATTGCTTCATTATCAGCAACATTTATTCTTAGAAAATAAAAAAGAGCATTACATATTTCAATGAAATGTACATAAAAGTTTTGATTGACTATCAATTTTCAAGAGATTTCGTCATCGCAAATTCTCGATTTCAACGAAAGGGAAAATGCTTCAACCTAATCAGCCCTATCAGCTTTTGTTTTGGATTGTCGGAGAGGCAGTTTGAATTCCGGAAAGGGAGATCAACGGTGGATGCTATTCGGACAATGGTCGAGAGAGTCAAGAAGGTGTCCAAACAGAAGCGAAGAGGAGATCGAGATGGCCCCGTGATAACGATCGACGTCAAGAATGCTCAACAGCGCAGCTGAAAAGCCATTGCTAAAGCGCTAAAGAGAATGAGGATCCCTGTCTACCCGTGTAGGATTCTGAGGAGTTACTTCCAGAGCCTGGTTCTGGTCTACGAGACAGATATGGGACAGGGATCGATTAGGATCACAACGGGAGTTCCACAAGGCTCCATCCTTCGTCCAACGCACGCCTTTGCCTTCAAGCGCGTGTTGAAATACCTGAGAGTGATGATCGATGACCGGCTAAACTTCAACAGCCACGTCGAATATATCTGTGAGAATGCTTGGAAGGCCATCAACACAATA